AACCATCAGGATCATTTACAGCCTCATTTATAGTTTATCTTTTAGGAAAATTGTATCAATGCTCCAAATTTCAAAACTCAATGTGCCCCGGCCCCTCATACTTTTTGCAATGTGCTGCAGCCTACAAAATTTTAAAAAAATGTGGCCCAGCCCCTCTAGCTCATGATTAGCTCATATTTGATCTAAAAATCCAATTTTACCCCTCAGGTCCTTCTCCTTCTCCTTCCTCATCCTCTTCTCCTTCTCCTTTGTAATGATCGTAAATTTTTAATACGGGTTTAAATAATTTTCTAGTATTTAAATATTAAATATTATTTTTCTAAAAGAGTATTTGTATTTTCCCAATTTTTCGAGAATTTCCTATGATTTAAAAATCTGATTTTTATATTTATTTAATGATTTTGCTAATTATAAAAATTGTTATGGTGAAAACTTTTTAAATAAATATTGATTATTTATTATTGTTATTATTATTATTGTTTGTATTATTAATTTTCTTGTATCAATATTTTTTAGCTTGCACTCTTTATCCCCTACCGTTATTTGACTGTCAGGTGATCAGCACGATAGTCAATTTTGTTATCTTTCATTTTTCTGTGTTTCCTCCCCAATCAATCTCTCTCTCTCATTATCTCTCACATTAAACCCCTACCCCTACCTTCCCCTAAAACCCTCCCCATGTTTCCCGCATCTCTTTCTTCACCTCGTGATTCCCCCACTCCTCAAAAGTCCCCCTCTCTCACCCTCACTCACACGTCCTCTCTCTCCCTCATCAGTTCTCTCTCACGCAGCTCACTCCCTGTCACTCTCATTTCCTCTTTCTCACTCAAGAATCTCTCTTTCATCTCTCTCTCTCTCTCTCTCTCTCTCTCTCTCTCTCTCTCTCTCTCTCTCTCTCTCTCTCTCTCTCTCTCCTCTACATATAAACCCATCTCCACTTCATCTCTCCCTCTACCTCCTCAACTTCGAGCTCAGCCCATCAACGCCTCCGTCCTCGTCGAGCTCCGACCAACTCCTTGCCGCGGCTGCCCTTGCTCGCGCCCAACACCCCGGACCCGCGCCAGCCCGAAGCTCGCAGGCGACTAGCCCCCAGCGCGAAGCACCTCCTCCTTCCCTCCTCTACCTCGCCACTTCAGCCCCCTCCCTCTCTCCCCATGACCGCCGAGTCGACGCTGTCGCTGCCTCCTCCGCCCCTCATCGCCGCACGAGCCGCCAAGCTCCTCCTCTTCGTCGCCGCCGAGCTCCTCCTCTTCGTCGCCCAACCCAGCAGCCACCCAACCAGCCCCCCGACGCAGCCACCCCCTCTTTGTTAGCCACGCCATAGCGCCGCCACGACCCACTGCGCGCGTCGCCAAAACAACGAACAGTTTTCAGCATCGCTGTGCCGACTGCGTACGTGTTTCCAGACCAACTCCGACCTCCGTTTCCGTCGATTCATTCGCCAGTGCGTAGCCCTTCGTGTTGTCTATCACACGGTATATTCCTTTCACTTGGGCTCTCTATCTACACCTCGTTATACTCGTTCGAATATCGCACATCGCATTAACACTCTAATTATAATTTTAGCCGTCGATTCCGCGAAACTCGTCGTAACGCTGTGCAACCACCCCGACGACCCCCTCTACGATCCACGATATACTCAAGGCAAGATCCCACTTGCTCGTATCTAAATTTTGTATTTATCATGAATTATCTAAAATTTTAGATCTGATATATTTATCTGCATGGGATTGTTTGATGGATAATATTAGATAAATCGTAATTATGTGATAAATAGTATTTTCAGAAATATTATGATAAATTAAAAGAATTTATTTCGGCAGCAGAATCATTTTTGAATAATTATATTAATTAAAAAGAATTTATTTGAGAACGAAATTATTTTAGAATAATTATAATAATTTTTTTGAAATTATCTTGTGGAAGAAATCATTTTAGAATGATAAAATATTTTTAAAAAGAAATTATTTGGAAAAATAGACTATTTTGAATTAATGAGAATTTATCTTATAAAAAATTTATTTTTGAATTTATGAATTTATTATTTTAAAAGATTATTTTTAGAATTATTATAATGAGAAAAGAACTTATTTTGGAAAAATGAATTATTTTGAAATTAAATTAAAAAAATTTAGATTGTAAAAGGAATTATTTTAAAGTAAATAAATTAATATTTTTGAATATTATTTTAGAATAATTTTATGATTCAAATTCTTAATTTTGAATATCTGATATTGTATGATATTAATGTACATGATTAGTTGCATTGATTATTCCTTGTTGTGATTAAGAATCGTTAGGAGTTTATGACTATAGTGACATGTGTGACATGAATAAGACCTAGAGGCTTGTGTGTTGTTGACTTAGAAAATACAAGAGAGTTAGGATGGGAAAGTCAAGGTTCATGTGATCGGATAAGGCTATTGATGTATCTTCCAGGCTCACACCAGTGGTCGGTGCCGCCCCTGGGATTGGTTTGTAGGGCTAAAGTGAAGTGTGTACATCATTTTGGTCAGTGGGAATTTATTTCGTCACTCGAGTTCTGTTTGAAGTTCGGACCAGGCGGAAATGGATTGCATGCAGTCCTCTAGGCCGCATGTGTAGCGGGATTGGATGCACGTAGAGGATTTGTGAACAGTCAGTTATCCAATGACAAGAGTGTTGACTTTGTGTGAGATGTGACCAGTGACCTGTTATAGAATGACTAGTTACATGACCTTGTTTCTTGGCTAGGTATGATTTCTTGTGAGATACGAACCAGTTATATTTCTTTTCATACATAGATCGGGATTAATATTTAATTATCTACAATTTGAGACTATGGTATATACATGAGGGTTTCCTTGTTTGGATTATTTCGCTCGACGTACTACGTCTCTTGTTGTAGATTTTTAAGTATTAATTCCATCTAGTGTATGACTATGTACTTGGATGATTATTCTGATCGCTAGCTGCATGATCGACTTGTTACTTGGTTGATTTTCTTAGATTTATTCTGATTATTCTATTTTATAGTAGTAAATTATTTTAGATTATTAGTATTTCAGTTGCATGTTTCCATTGTTGTTATCATTATTGCATTGGTCGCACGACCGTTTCTATTCTTCTTTTTGGGATCTTGTCGTGTGCCATGCACGCTGACGTACTCTTTTCCTCTCGGGATGTACATCAGATTTAGAGGACGGACAGCTACAGTTCTGAGTAGTACAGGAGCTAGAGGATCCTCTGCAGGAAGGCTTTGCAGACGGAGCAGAAGAACAAGTCGAAGCTTAGTTACCTCTTTATAGTTAGCTGATTGCAGGAAGGCTTTGCAGACGGAGCAGAAGAACAAGTCGAAGCTTAGTTACCTCTTTATAGTTAGCTGATGATCCTAGTTTACCTTCCAGTACTTTTAAGAACAAGTCGAAGCTTAGTTACCTCTTTATAGTTAGCTGATGATCCTAGTTTACCTTCCAGTACTTTTATTTCTGTTGATCGATGTACTATTTTTATATTCTCTAGTATTCAGATAGCTTTGTATAAAGGCATGTTTGGCTCGAATATTATGTCTGGATGATCATTTTAGTTGTGATATGTATCTTTTGGTTCTGAGTTATTTATTATATTCTCGCCACTGTGATCGGGGACATGTGCCTTCGTTTTATATTTGCTTGATGCTTAGCGTATTAGATTGAACAGAAGGGGTCTAGTACTTATTTCTCCTCAGTCTAATACGTCGCGGGCTTGTTCATGTTTCAATTCCCTGGTATTTTGGGAAGCGGGGCGTGACATGTTTTTGTTGGTGGCCCACACAGGTCACGGTCCCGAGTTTCCACCAGTGAGAATATAATGAATAATTTAGACGCATATCATATTTTATCCGTAAGACTATACTTAACCCTTATCTTAGTATTTTGAAAAATTATATTTTAGTCCCTGCCTTACTCAATTTCGATTTTGATTTTGACCTTGATTTTCTTATTCTTCCTGCAATGATTTTGATCCTCGTTCTTCTCTTTCTTCGCCTTCCCTTCAGAACCATGGTGGGTACACGTAGCAATGGTAAACCGTCCGGCAGTAGTGGCCCACTGCCCGAAGTGGACCCTCGTCAACTTCTGGCAATGATTCAGGGACTGACGACGAATTAGCAGCATCTGGCCGGGGAATTGCAACGAGAACCTCAGCACTAGCATCTCCCTCGCTCAGAACCTAGTGTTAGGGAGTTCTGGTATATGCGACCTCCTTCTTTCTCTGGTGCTGAAGGACATCTAGCAGCAGAGGAGTTCTTGAAGGTCACTAAGACCATTCTCAGGTGACCTGCATTGCTCCTGTAGAATGGGTGGACCTTATGGATATTCAGCTCACCGACACCGCTCGGATATGGTGGGCAGCTGAGAAGATCCACCTTGAGAGACCAATCATGTGGGAGACATTCACCGAGCACTTCAACAGGAAATATTTTCCTCAGTCAGCTCGGGACGAGCTCCTGCGTAGATTCGTTGAACTCAAGCAAGGAGGGCGAACAGTTGATGAGTACGAGGCTGAGTTTTCTTCCTTGAGCCGATATGCTCCCCACTTGGTTACCGACCCTACGAATATTAGGAGGCATCAGTTTCAGAAGGGTCTGGACAAGTACATTAGGATGGCTCTGGCAGGTAGAGCTTTAGCAACCCATGATGCAGTACTGGATGCAGCACGCGAGATTGAGAGCGTGCATAAGGAACCTGAAAACTCACACGTGATCCAGAGCAGGACACCAGCAGCTCCGGCCCGAAATATCGAGCGTCCCCCTTCGAGGCAGCAACAGCAGGCCCCGCAGAGGCAACAACATTCTTAGCGTCAGCCATTCCCTTCCCTCAGAGTCACCCTTATCAGTGCCCTGGAGTGAAAACTCACGGCCAATCTTTGGTGAAGTGTTCCTATTGTGGTCACGCTGGGCATACCCAGCAAGATTTCCGTAGGCGTCTTCATCTGTGCTTCAACTGTGGGTCCCCCAGTCATGTCAGTCGAGACTGTCCACAATGACAGTAGGCCCGCTTGCCCCCACCTCCAGTTCGGGTAGTTCTTCCAACTCCACCTCGACCTGCCCTAGTAGCACTGGCTTAGCAGGGACCCTATCCCCGAGCAGGGCCTCTTCTTCCTCAGAAGCGGTTTTATCAGGAAACGCAAAGGCGGCAACCACTGCGTCAGACGTTTATGATGTCAGTTGTGGAAGCTGAGGCGAACGACCAGGTTATCACTGGTAAGAATTGTTCATTGCCTATGAAATTCCTTATTTAGCATTACCTGATGATATCATAATAGGATTTGTTTATGAGTGCTAAGTTTAGTTGCATTATCTCCTCCTGTAATAGGCAAGATTCTTGTTTCTTCCGTTCCTGCTTTATCACTCTTTGACTCTGGAGCTTCTCATTGTTTCTTGTCTCGTCAATTTGCGAGTGCTCACTCTCTTCCTATAACTCCTCTGACTACGGGCTAGAATATCAACACTGGTAGCGGTATTTTAGTAGCATCCAGTGGTTATGAAGCATGCCCGGTGGTTATCAGCGGGAGAGAGCTCTTTGTAGATTTTCTGGTGATTGATTTGTCGAGCTTTGATGCAGTATTTGGGATGGATTGGTTAGGGTCATTCTTTGCCACCATTGATTATCGCCGTCGGAGTGTAGTATTTGAGATACTGGATCACCCGAGGTTTGAGTTCCTCAGTGGTAGCACATCGGCCGGACCTGTAGAGTATAGAGCTAGACCGAAGAAGACGATGTTTGCTGCCATGCAGGTGGAACCCGAGAAACCAAATGTAGTTCAGGAATTTGAAGATGTATTTCCCGATGATATTTACGGGTTGCCACCGGATCGAGCAATTGAGTTTTCCATAGAATTGAAGCCTGGAACTGCTCCGATCTCCAAGACTCCTTATCGTATGCCTGCAATTGAGTTTTCCATAGAATTGAAGCCTGGAACTGCTCCGATCTCCAAGACTCCTTATCGTATGCCTTCGGCTGAGTTGACCGAGCTTCAGACTCAGTTGGATGATCTTATGCAGAGAGGCTTGATACGACCCAGTGTATCGGCCTGGGGAGCACATCTGTTGCTTGTGGGTAAGAAGGATGGATCCGAGCGAATGTGCATCGACTACCGGGAGTTGAATGCTGTGAAAGTGAAGAATAAGTATCCACTTCCCCGTATCGATGATATCTTCGACCAATTAGGAGGATCGAGAGTATTTTCTAAGCTAGATCTACGAAGTGGATATCACTAGGTGAAGGTCAAGGACTCTAACGTTCCCAAGACTGCGTTCCGGACGAGATATGGACATTATGAGTTCTTAGTGATGCCGTTTGGTGTGACTAATGCGCCAGCGACATTCATGAACTTGATGAATCTGGTATTCTATGATGTGCTGGACAAGTTTGTAGAAGCCTTTATTGATGATATCCTGGTATACTCCAAGAGTGAAGCGGAGCATGCGAAGCACTTGCGATACGTGTTGCAGACCCTGAGAGAGCATCGGTTGTTCGCTAAGTATAGCAATGGTCAGTTCTGGCTAGATCGCATCGCGTTTCTAGGACACGTGGTGTGAGGAGACGATATATCAGTGGATCCGGAGAAGGTATCTGCAGTGAGGAATTGGCCTACCCCTAGGACAGTATCTGACATTAAGAGCTTCCTGGGGCTAGCTGGAAATTACCAGCGCTTCATCAAGGATTTCTCGAAGATCGCGGAGCCGATGACACGACTTACGAGGAAGGATATTAAGTTTGTTTGGTCTGACGCTTGTGAGCAGGCGTTTGAGGAGTTAAAGTCTCGAGTGATTTCGGCCCCAGTCTTGATAATACCAGATAAGAGTGGGAACTTTTTTTGTGTTTTGCGACGCATCAGGTAGAGGATTGGGATGCGTTCTTCAGCAGGATGGTCATGTGGTAGCATATGCTTCTCGTCAGTTGAAGAAGCATGAGCAGAATTATCCTACCCACGACTTGGAGTTGGCAGCTGTGATTTTTGCCCTTAAGCTTTGGAGGTATTATTTGTTGGGAGAACAAGTGAAGGTGTTTACGGATCACAAGAGCTTGAAGTACATCTTCACGCAGAAGGAGCTCAACATGAGGCAGCGCAGATGGTTAGAGCTGATAGCGGATTATGACATTGATCTTCAGTATCACCCTGGCAAGGTCAATGTAGTACCAGATGCTTTGAGTCGTTTGCCGGCAATCATGACCCTTACGGCTCAGTGGAGACTTCAGCAAAAAGTGAGAGATATGAGTATAGAAGTTCTTCTTCCAGGAGTCATCGATTCTTTGATGAATCTTCAGATTCAATCGACATTGGTCGAACAAATCAAGGCTGCACAAGCAGATGACTCATTTATTTAGAAGTGCAGAGAGTTAGCAGTGGTTGGCCTTCGGCCGGAATTTGTTGTTCATGAGGACGGATCCTTACGATTTGGGAGTCGTATCTGTGTACCAGAAGGAGATGTTCGAGAGGATATATTACGGGAAGCTCATAGCTCATCGTATTCTATTCATCCTGGAGGTACGAAGATGTACAAGGATCTGAAGCTGAACTTTTGGTGGTGTGATATGAAGAGAAGTGTGGCTCGTAGTATGGCTAAGTGCCTTGTATGTCAGCAGGTGAAGGCAGAGCATCAACATATCGCAGGTCATTTGCAGCCATTGCTTATTCCGGAATGGAAGTGGCAGCATGTCATCATGGACTTCGTTACTGGCTTACCTCGGAGCACTAGACAGAATGATGCTGTTTGGGTGATCGTAGATCGATTAACCAAATCGGCTCACTTTATTCCATTCCAAGTGGGACAGTCGACGGAGCATCTTGCTCAAAGATACATGGAGGTAAAATAGTTATCTCTATATATTTCAATGAGCTCCTTTCCCAAGAGTGCTAGTAAATCTCTAGTATTACAGGAGATCGTACGATTGCACGGAGTTCCAGTGTGCATCGTTTCGGATCATGATACCTGATTTACCTCAGAGTTCTGGAAGAGTTTGCATGCGAGTCTTGGGACCAGTCTTAGTTTCAGCACAGCTTATCATCCCCAGACCGATGGGCAGTCGGAGAGAACCATTCAGACTTTGGAACATATGCTTAGAGCTTGTATGCTTGACTTTCACGGATCGTGGGAAGATCACTTGCATTTGGTGGAGTTTGCATACAACAATAGTTTCCATGCTAGTATTGGAATGGCCCCTTTTGCAGCACTATATGGCAGGAAGTGCCGTTCTCCACTGAGTTGGGACGATATTGGTGAATGAGAGATTTTTGGGCCAGAGTTGATTGAGAGATCAGTTGACGCAGTCAGGATCATCCGGGAGCGACTTCGCATAGCGCAGGACAGATTTAAGCATTGGGCAGATGCGAAGTGCTAGCACTTAGAGTTTCAGCCAGGAGATCATGTGTTCCTGAAGATTTTCCCCAACCGAGGCATCATTCGCTTTGGAAGGCGTGGGAAGTTGAGTCCACGATATGTGGGACCTTTCGACGTATTAGAGAGAGTGGCGTGGGAAGTTGAGTCCACGATATGTGGGACCTTTCGACGTATTAGAGAGAGTTGGAGAAGTGGCGTACCGACTTGCATTACCACCCTGGGACCTTTCGACGTATTAGAGAGAGTTGGAGAAGTGGCGTACCGACTTGCATTACCACCCGTCCTGGCCGAAGTGCATAACGTATTCCATGTTTCTCAGTTACGAAAATACGTTGGAGATCCGAGTCATGTCGTAGATTTCTCGGAGATTGAGGTGCGATCCGATTTGACATATGAAAAGCAGCCTGTGGCGATTTTGGACCGAAGGGAGAAGACCCTCCGGAACAAGACCGTTCCGCTTGTTCGTGTGATGTGGCACCCAGATTCTCCTAGAGAGTCGACTTGGGAAACTGAGTCTGAGATGCGACAGCGATACCCTCATCAATTTCCTAAATCCTAGCTGTCTTGTCTTGTATCTTATTTTGAAATGTCTTGTATGACTTTTCCTATTTATGGATATGCAATATATTTTGAATTTTATATATGAGTTGAGATGAATCTGTCTTTATATTTCGTTCTTGTTTTAATTCTGAGGACGGGATTTGTTTTAAGGGGGTAGGATGTAATGACCTTAAATTTCTAATAGGGGTTTAAATAATATTCTAGTATTTAAATATTAAATATTATTTTTCTAAAAGAGTATTTGTATTTTCCCAATTTTTTGAGAATTTCCTATGATTTAAAAAATCTGATTTTTATATTTATTTAATGATTTTGCTAATTATAAAAATTGTTATGGTGAAAACTTTTTAAATAAATATTGATTATTTATTATTGTTTGTATTATTAATTTTCTTGTATCAATATTTTTTAGCTTGCACCCTTTATCCCCTACCGTTATTTGACTGTCAGGTGATCAGCACGACAGTCAATTTTGTTATCTTCCTTTTTCTGTGTTTCCTCCCCCAATCAGTCTCTCTCTCATTATCTCTCACCTCAAACCCCTACCCCACCTTCCCCTAAAACCCTCCCCATGTTTCCCGCATCTCTTTCTTCACCTCGTGATCCCCCACTCCTCAAAAGTCCCCCTCTCTCCCTCTCACTCACACGTCCTCTCTCTCCTTCATTAGTACTCTCTCACTCAGCTCACTCCCTGTCACTCTCGTTTCCTCTCTCTCTCACTCACGAATCTCTCTCTCTCTCTCTCTCTCTCTCTCTCTCTCTCTCTCTCTCTCTCTCTCTCTCTCTCTCTCTACATAAACTCATCTCCCACTTCATCTCTCCCTCTACCTCCTCAACTTTGAGCTCAGCCCATCAACGCCTCCGTCCTCCGTCGAGCTCCGACCAACTCCTTGCCGCCGCTGCCCTTGCTCGAAGTAGTACAGGAGCCAGAGGATCCTCCGCAGGAAGGCTTTGCAGACGGAGGAGAAAAACAAGTCGAAGCTTAGTTACCTCTTTATAGTTAGCTAAGGATCCTAGTTTACCTTCCAGTACTTTTATTTCTGTTGGTCGATGTACTATTTTTATATTCCCTAGTATTCAGATAGCTTTGTATAAAGGCATGGTTGGCCCGAATATTATGTCTGGATGATCATTTTTAGTTGTGATATGTATCTTTTGGTTCTGAGTTGTTTATTATATTCTCGTCACTGTGATCGGGGACCTGTGTCTTCGTTTTATATTTGCTTGATGCATAGTGTATTAGATTGAGCAGAAGGGGTCTAGTACTTATTTCTCCTCAGTCTAATACGTCTTCATGTTCTGATTCCCTGGTATTTTAGGGAGCGGGGCGTGACATCCTTCCTCATCCTCCTTCCTCCTCGACGATTCTCCAGTCCACCACCAACTCTGCCTGGGCTCCACCGACGGTTGGTTCGCCACCGTCGACAACCGATTGGAGATACTGCTACTCAATCCCAAATCTGACTCCCCCAATCTCCACTATACTGGAGTTCTCCCCGATATCCTCGCCCGGAGAAACTTACGAAAAATTCATCCTGTCTTTAAGCTCAATGGAAAAGGATTGTGTGATTATGCTCTGTTTATTGGAAGCAACCAATCTACGTGTATATCTAGCCGCGATGTTCCTGGAGTGAGAGGCAATTGTATCTACTTTATTGAAGACTTAGTGGATACTATATGGGGATCGTGTTTTGAAAGGAAGAGAAGAGATGTTGAGTGGATTAGTTTTTGTTTAAAATTTTAATATACATATGCCATTTTTTGTTGACTTGAAAATTATATGTACTTTGAACATGATGTGTTGATAATTGAGAAATAAAAGACTACATACAAAAATATCCATTTAAAATAATGGATGTCTAAATATTCAGTAGATTAATTATTAAGTTTTACCTAATACAAGTGAACTATAATAGATTAATTGTTAACATTTACTTGTTCCATGTTAAGTATAGTGGAGTAAGTGTTAACTTTTTTCTTTAAAATGTTAAGTTTTGTTAATTAACTATTAAGTTTTACCTAGTACATATGAACTATAGCTGATTAACTATTAATGTTTAGTTGTTCCATATAAGTATAATTGAGTATTGTTATCTTTATTCTTTTAAATGTTAATTTTTGTGTTATACATGTGAAATATAGATGATTAACTATTAACCTTTAGTTGTTCCATATAAAGTATAAAGGCGGAGATCAACTATAACAACGATGTATTCATGGACTACTATGATTGTGGTTAATGAGCAAGAACATGAAAGAACAAAGGCGGCTAAGTTCTTTCGATGTTAATGGACTCTTTGATCATTCATGTCTTACGGGGTACTCGTAATTGGATCTTAAATAACTCGAGTATTCAGAAATTTTTTGAGAAAGGTTATGTGGGTTTGTTGGAGCGAGGATTTATACAAAGTTTCTTGCAACATTAGAACTAAAAGATTAGTAAAATATATACTACAAGTTTATTAGAACTAAAAACATTAAACGAAGAAAGTTAAAATTTAACAATAGAAGAGTTAAGGCACATTAATAGGTACTTCGTGAGTTTTAATAGACATATATTAACACTTACTTGATATTTTACATTATATGGTCTTATTCAAAAGTTAACAATTACTCAATTATATTTAAGAATAACTAGGTAAATGTTAACAGTCGGTCACTATAGTTTATATATATTAGGTAAAACATAACCGTTAATCTACAAAACTTAACATTTAAAAGAATAAAGATAACAATTATTCAATCATACTTATATGGAACAACTAAGCATTAACAGTTAATCGGCTATAGTTCACATGTAATAGGTAAAACTTAACAGTTAATTAACAAAACTTAACATTTAAAAGAAAAAAGTTAGCACTTACTCCACTATACTTAACATGGAACATGTAAATGTTAACAATTAATCTGCTATAGTTCACTTGTATTAGGTAAAACTTAATAATTACTAAATATTTAGACATCCATTATTTTAAATAGAATTTTGTATGTAATCTTTTATTTCTCAATTATCAACGCATCGTGTACAAAGTACATATAATTTTCAAGCCAACAAAAATGGCCTATGTATAATAAACTTTTAAACAAAGACTAATCCACTCAACATCTCGGCTAGATATACAAGTAGATACAATTACCTCTCACTCCAGGAACATCTCGACTAGATATACACGTAGACCGATTGCTTCCAATGAACAAAGCATAATCACACAGTCCTTTTCCATGGGGCTTGAAGACATAACGAATTTTTCATAAATTTCTTCGGGCGAGGAGTTAGGTGGATACTCCAGTATAGTGGAGATTGGAGGGAGTCGGATTTGGGATTGAGCAGTATCATCTCCAATTGGTCATCGATGGTGGCCAACCACCGTCGGTGGAGCCCATGCAGAGTCGGTGGTGGACTAGAGGATCGTCGAGGAGGAAGGA